AAAAAGTATTATTTAGATTATGAATAATTTTTAGTTTTTAATTTGGAATTGCTTATATTGTTATTTTTTTCCTTTTTGTTTTTTTTATATTTTATTTGCTTAAATTTGTTTTGTATTCGAGTTAAAGTACATTATTGATTTTGTTATTTGTATAGTTGGATAAGTTTATTTACAATTTGTTTGTTTATTTGTAACCCTATAACCAGCTCTGGGAAGTGAGGGGGGGAGGGAGGGAGGGGGTTATTTTAGGGGGGGATATTGTTAAAAACTTGTATAAAACTTTTCAATTAAAAAAAGAAAGCAATACAAACTAAATTGATATATTCAGACAAAGAAGGACGAATCTTAATGGTGGAAGTAATTATGAACTGTAAAAAATCATTATTGGTAGCGATCTACGCTCCAAATGAAAACCAAGAGAACTTTTATTTAAAATTACACAAGAAAATAATAAAACTGGAATATGAAAGCATATGTATGATTGGAGATTTTAATGCTCTTGTAAAGGTTGAGCTGGATTATAATACAAAAAAAACAAGACTCTAAGAAGAACACTCCCAAAATAACATGGTGGACGAACTAAATATATTTGATGTTTGGAGAGAAAAATATCTGGAAAAGAAGCAATACACATTCTACTCTAACAGACACCTGTCCTGGTCGAGAATTAATATGATATGGACGTCAACAGATTTATTTATAAATATACAAAATATAGCCATTGAAACAAGCACATGGGCGGATCAGAACCCAGTTACAATCATATGGAAAGGACAAAAAAAGAGAACAAGATGGACATTAAACCAAACTGTATTGAATGAAAAAGACTTTCAGCAATATATGGGAAAAGAAATATCTTTCTTTTTTAAGGAAAACAAAAAAGAAGATACTTCACTTCAAAATGTTTGGGACATGGTGAAAGCGTACATGAGAGGACTTGCTATGACTTATTTGGGGAAAAAGAATAAACAGAAAAAACAAAATAAGGGAAAACTGGAGGAAGAATATAAGACACTTGAGAAAGAATTACAGAAAGATACACAAAACAAAAAGATTAAAAATTTAATGGAGCTGAACAAACAAAAAATGAATTTAATAGAAAATGAAGAAGTGGCAATGAAAATAAAGGCAGCTAAGCAAACCTTTTTTGAGCATGCAAACAAACCAGGGGTTGACATATAAAATTAAAAAGGAGAAAGAGAAGAGATAGATGAAACAATTGGAAGATGCTGAGGGGATTTTACAACATTGGCATGAAGAAAAGAAAAAAATAACTTGGAAATATTATGAGAACTTATATAAGCAACAAACAGTTCCAGATGATAGGATAAAACAATTCTTGGAAAAAACAGAGATACCTAAAATACCGGAGAAATTTAAAAAGTTATTAGAAGGGGAAATAACAATGATGGAATTAACAGAAGCAATTAAAAGACAAAAAAATGGTAAAACACCAGGACCGGATGGATTACCAGCAGAGCTATACAAGACATTGCAGGAAGCAATAGGCAATGTAATGTTGGAACTTTATGATGAACTTTTTTCTGAAGCTAAGATACTAGATTTGTGGTCCTCAGCATTTATTACCCTGATACCAAAGGAAGAAACGGAAATGCAGAAATTAAAGAATTACAGGCCGATTTCCCTACTGAATATGGACTATAAAATATTTGCATCAATAATGGTGGAAAGATTTAAAAAGTTTTTAAATGAATTTATACAATTGGATCAAAATGGTTTTTTACCCAAAAGACAAATTAGAGACAATATGCAAATTGTATTGAACACATTAGAATACTGTGAAACACACCCCAAGAAACAGATGGCATTGATGTTCCTGGACGCACAGAAAGCATTTGACAATGTGAATTGGCAATTCATGATATGGATTATGGATTTGGGGGAGAAATTTATAAATATAATCAAAACAATTTATAATAAGCAATCAGCCAAAATAATGATAAATGGAGATATGACTGAGAAGATTAACATTATGAAGGGAACAAGACAGGGATGTCCTCTATCCCCACTATTGTTTGTCTTGACATTAGAAGTATTAAACAAAAGTATAAGACAGAATAATGACATAAAAGGCATGAAAATTAAAAAGGAAAAATATAAGCTACAAGCATTCGCAGACAATTTAGTATTTATCTTGGAGGAACCATTAGAAACAGGATCTGTATTAATAGAACAAATAAAAAAATATAGTGAGGTAGCGGGGTTGAAGATTAATAAAGATAAAACAAAAATGATAGTGAAAAATATTACTGAAAAACAAAAAAAAGAATTGATGGGAAAATTAGATATACAGATTGTAAAGAAGGTAAAATATTTAGGGATCCACCTGACAGCAAGATGTACAACAATTAAAGAGGATAACAATCACAAATTGAAAAGACAAATTGAAGTAGATTTGGATAAATGGAAAAATATACAACTATCATTAATGGGAAGGATTGCGATAATCAAAATGAATATATTACCACGATTATTGTTTTTGTTTTCAACAGTATCAATAAGATTAGATAAGAAATATTTTGAGGGGCTTAATAAAATAATCTTGAAGTATATTTGGCAGGGAAAAAAGGCAAGGATTAATCTAAAAATGTTACAAGATACAAGACTCAGAGGTGGGTTTGGTCTACAAATTGGGAATTGTACTATCAGGCTGCAGCATTATCATGGATGAGGGAATGGATCTTACTGAGGAATACGAGAGTATTGACATTAGAGGGACATGACTTGCAGTTGGGATGGCATGCTTTCATATGGTATGGAAAAAACAGAATACATAGCTATTTCCAGAGACACCATATAAGGAATTCTTTATTAGTGGCTTGGGAGAAAATAAAGAGAAAGCATTATTTGAAGATTCCAAACTGGGTCTCAACTATGGAAGCGCTAATACACCCCAATATGCTTAATATAGGAAATATTATAAGATATAAAGACTTACTAACAGATATGGGGGAGTTGAAAACCAAACAACAATAAGAGGAACAAGGAATAAAGATGGATTGGTACATGAGAACGCAAATAGAATCTAGATATGAAAAAGATGTTAAAATAGATGGTTTTAACTTGGGGACAACAGTTAGATGAAATACTCACAGAAACGGAAGAAAAATGGATTAAAAAATGTATAGTTACCTACTACATATGGAGTTAGAGGAGGAACAAGTGAAAGAGACAATGATAAAATGGACAAGGAATTTTGGATATACGATTGAATTAGACAGACGGCAGCAACTATGGGAAAGAAACTATAAACTGACAATGGCAACTGCATATAAAGAAAATATGTACAAAATGTTCTATAGATGGCACATGTCTCCAGAAAGATTAGCTAAAATGTTTAAGGACAGATCTATGAAATGTTGGAAATGCCATCAAATACCAGGTTCTTTTTATCATATGTGGTGGACGTGTGTAGAAGCTAAAACGTATTGGAATATAATTAGAACATGGATAGAAAAGATGATACAACAACATATAGAACTAAGACCAGAAATATTCCTGCTGGGTATTTTACCAGGGAAATATAATAAAGAGAAAACATATTTGATTATTCATATAATTACGGCAGCCAGGATTGTGTTTGCACAAAATTGGAAAGCACCAAAAGCCCCCCAAGAGGGAGAGGTGATCGGGAAAATACTGGAATGTGCAGAAATGAATAGATTAACAATGATAATTAAAGAAAAGACAGAGTCAACAATATTATGAAATTTGGGGAATTTTTTATGATTGGGTGAAAAGAGAATATGGTTAAAAAATAGTTAACACCAACTTAGATGGAAGAAAAAGGAGATAGGAGAAAGAAAAAGGAGGGAGACCCAGGCGACACAGTATTGAATAACCGGAGGTCGTATAAATACTTATAGAAGTATGTACCGAGAAGGTCAGATAAATAGAAGTATTAACGTAATAGAAAACTAATCTTATTATATATAATATAGATAGGGAAATTTAGAGAGAGGAGCTGCTCGGACATTATTGTATCTGAAGAGGGATGAGAGGGAAGAAAGGAGAGGAAAGAGAGAAGAGAGTAAAGGAGGGGGGAAGGAAGTAGGAAGGTTGGAGGAGAAGAGGAGGAGAAATGGAAGGGGAGTGGTGAAGGAAAGAGGAGAGGAGAGGAAGAAGAGGGAAATAGGAAAGAAAGAGAAGGGAGAAAGTAGAGAAGAGTAGGGGTGTGGATACAGTGAAAGGGGAAATGGGCGAGCAACACCAAAATTTATGTGTATGTATTTATTTTATTTTATTAAAGAGTTTCTGATAGATAAGACTGTAAAAAGAATGTATGCTAACATGTGATAAATATCGCGGTATATTTGTTGATATGTATGGGGAAGAGTTGGGAAAAATAAAAAAGTTATATAGAAAAAATTTAAACTAAGGTTGTGGAATTAACTATTTTGGGCTTTGTATGAGATTGAATCATCAACTAAGCACCAGGATTGGGGGTCATCACACAATACACAGGGAAAAAAGGTGATTCAATGATCTTTGTCATAACTGGCTACTACTTGTATGGCTGATTTCCAACAACTACCATAGGCCAGCCACATTTTAATCTCAGGTATTGGGTGAACCCTCCCAGACCAAAGGTTAGTTACTAGCTCAATTGTGATGTAAGCCGAGCCTATTGTCTGAGCTAACCACGAGTAACCATGCCAACTTGCCAAGCCAGCCAGTGACTTCAGTTTCTGTCCATTTCTCCCGCACAGCCTTCGCGGGAATACAAGTCCTTTTAGCGGAAGAACTAGCAAGAGGCGCTTGCTCAGGGCTCACCACCGCATACAGCCAGCTTGTTTACGAGCGTTTTCGATGCCTTTTCCCGCCCAAAGCCTAGATATCGTCATAAGGACGCCTCCGGGCGGGCTCATAAGCGACTCGCCTTCCGGCAGGATGAAACCTCTCCTATCGGCTGAAGGTTATCTCGGGCGGGGCCGATCAAAAACCAGCTCGGGGGTGGCGCGGGGGGGGGGAAGGCGAGAAAGGCGGAGTCGGACCGGCAGAGACCCCACCTCCGGAGGGATGCCAGAACCAGTCAGAAGGGCGCAGCGCGGGCTCTGTTCAGCAGCCGGTCTGGGGGGTGTAGCTTTTCCTCCGCCGGCTGTTCTTTGTGCCCGTAGCTGCTATGCGGGATTACGACGAGATCATCGCCTTCCTGGGCGAGTGGGGTCCCTACCAGCGTCTCATCTTCTTCTTACTCAGCGCCAGCATCATCCCCAATGGCTTCAACGGCATGTCCGCCGTTTTCTTAGCCGGCACCCCCGAGCACCGGTGCCGGGTGCCCGCCAGCGCCAACCTGAGTGTGGAATGGCTCAACGCCAGCATCCCCCTGGAGGATCGTGACGGGCGGCAGGTGCGGAGCCAGTGCAGCCGCTACAGCCTCGACGCTCTCATCAATTTCTCCGCCTGGAACCTGGTGCCCGGCCGCGATGTCAATCTCAGTCAGGTGGCGCAGGAGGAGTGCCTGGATGGCTGGGAGTACAGCCGGGAGGTTTATCTTTCCACGATCGTCACGGAGGTAAGAAAGTGCCTGATGCTTTTCGGGTCGGGGGATGGCAGGGAGAGGAGTCGGAGGTCGCGGCCCGCTGTGTTGTTCCGGGGTAGGGCTTGCAAAGTGTCGGAGAGGTGGCCAGCAGGCTGACGAGCGTGGACCGGAAAAGCGGCGAGAGAGATCTATATGCATGGCCATGTGAGAATAGGAAGCCGCCGAGGCAGAAAATGGAGTAGGTAAGGGTCGGGGCGTAAAGGCGAAGGAAGGAGGGGCCTTACTGGGGCCATGTTGTACGGGGCTTTACGAGCAAGAAGATGCCCCTGTCTCCAAATCCCTGCTGGGCTTTTTTTTTTTTTTTTTTTTTTTTTTTGCAAGAGAGAGAACGCAGGTTTGCTGCAAGAGAGTGTTGGAGCACGTGGCACGCGGGCGATTGCGTAGCTTACAGTGCGGTGTTTTCAATTCGGCGGCGCCGATTAATTATTGCCAACTTCTACCGAGAGGAAAGGCTTCGGAGCTGAGTCTTTGCGAGATTCCTTACTTAAAGAAATGCCTTTCTCGTGATTTGGAGAAGCCCTTTTAGGAGAGAGGCATGTGTCACCCACGTTGTGCGTTGTAACATGATGTAACTAATGGGTTTTCTCTGTCGCTTCTCTTTCATGAATGGTGGATTGGGAAGTAGCGATGCTTGTAATGCCTGTTAAGTATTTTTGAATATTAGCTGTGATCTCGCATGAATGTATAGGATTTAATACGTCATAATGTTGGCAGATTGACGTCATGCAATATCCGCATTTCTATTGGGCATTTAAATTCTCAAAATTATTGTAATTAGTATTTTTCCATTCTAATTAACATTTTTCCCTTCTATCATACACTAGGAGCAGAACTACATGATTCTTTTGTATATAATATACATATATGAACAGATGCTACTTATTCATACACACACACACACACACATACAACACACACACAGAAAAATAATCAACCATAGATCCAGAGGCCATCAACTGTTCATAAATTTCCAGATGAACAAATAAATCTTAACCAAGGGTATGCCAATCCTCTGTACTATGTCAAAAGGCCTTTTCTCAGTTGACCACTGTTATTTCTAATGGCAGGAACAGTTGGGTGTGCCGGGGAATCAGCAGTGTCAAAATAGTGTGACTGGATAATTGCATCTCCACCTCTTTATAACATGCATTGATTTGTTGTGCTTGCTGTTTTAAAGTTGTTGGCCCACACACATCTCGTGACGTGGGTAGAGCCGTGAGATGAACATAACATTGTTCTATTGTTCTAGGTGCCAATTAAAGTAGAGTATATTATTTGGCATGGAAAGGTTGACAGCTATCATCCTTATGCTAACCAAATACATTTCAGTATTTGGAGTTTCTTTACATACATCTTATTTATTGGACCATGGCTTAAATAGACAAAGAAGTTACACTGATATAAGATGTATTCAGCAGGTTGGAACAACTGTGGCTGTTTGCAGGTTAAATAGTTAAATAGAAGTTAGAAGTTAAATTGTCTAGTTATTGCTTTCATGGGGGATAATTTGGGAATTCTAGATCTGAAAAATTAAAATACGTGTCAGAAAGAGGCAGTGACAAATCTCTTCTTTCATTCTTATTTTTATGCAAGATAATGGCATAGGTATAATTGCCAAGGATTGAGCTCAACTTGAGAATTTTGTGGGATGTGTTGAAAAGTGTGGGGGAGGAAAAAAATCAAATGATTGTTTTATCCCCAGTTCTCTCAGATCCTTAGGTGAAACTTTTTCTGCTGACTTAAGAACACATGCAGGCTGATAAGAGGGAAGGGTTCTCATTTAAATTTCACATGCAGAAAATGGATTTTCAGAAATTAAAATGCTAAGAAAGCTGCTCTTAAAGGAGATGTATTGTTTTGGAACAAAAATGATAGAAAATCATACCTTGGTCAGATTTTATGGAATTTGCTTGGCAGGCAGTATTCAGCATTACTACCAGCCGAGCTGCTGGTAGTAATGTACATGGGTTTTTTTTGTTCCCATTGTTTCCCATGGCTGTGTGGAACAATCAATTAGTACTGAGTTTTTTTCTGACGGAACACAGCCAGCTCCAAATGTTTAACAGAACCTGTTGATTGGAGCTGTTTCTTTGTCATATAAAATAAATTATTAGTTTCAAATATATCCATACTATTTATTTACCTTCCCACCACTATCTTGTTGGATTCATTATAAGTTGCAGATCCCTGGGAGAGAAACCACACTGATGACTTCCCTAAAAACCAGAAAAATTATCTGAAAACTTTTTTAAAAATAGAACAGTAAGAACAGGGATGATCCTGGGAGGTAAACCATTTATTATTATCCTTATTCTCACTTGGGTAAGTCCAAGGACCATCGCTGACCTCCCAAGACACCTATGTGCAAACTTTTTTTTTTTTGCACTACTAGAGCATCAGATCATATCACAAAGCAGCTTCATCTTCATAGCACTTCATTCTACATTTTCTTCTATAGTGCATGTGCAGACATGTGAAGTAGTAACTGGTGCACTTCCTTGCAAGCACTACTGTTCCCAACATTTGTCTCTAGTATTATGACATCTTTCTCCAGTGCATAAGTTGCATATCTGTTTACAGTGGTCTTGCTAAGTCTACCCAAAATGGGCTGAAATTCAGTGGTGTGATTTCAAGGTGTCTAGGGTCCTAAGTGGAATCTGGTGTGTCTGCATGCAGGCCCACATGTTCTTCCTACTCTTGAGTAAGCCAGGTAGTCCCAGTTTGAGAATTAGTGTTTCATAGTTCTGTTCCTCAGCTCTTAGATCATACACTGATGAATATATCTTATCATCCCACAGAGCATTACATCTGGATAAGTTAATAAGTGGTGGCATGGTACAGCCACAACACTTTCATCTTCATAATTATGTTTTTTAAGCTTTTGCACAGTAGACATTTCTGGAGAGCATATAATGGGACTTTAAAGATTCCTGATTGGAATCATTGGAGATGCTGCTAAGTTTCTTCAATGTCTTATTCCTACACAAGGGAAACAATGATGGATACGGATCTGCAGTAGATGTACAATGTCTTCAGAGGTACTGACAAAAGATATCATAAGCATTGATGTTACCTTGTTCTTTGTAGGAAGACAGACACTTAGTTAAAGCCAAGGTACACAGGTCCTGTTTGCCAAGTGCTTGATCAGAATTAAGTATAAATCATCTAACAGATATATGCAACCTTTGATGATTTAGTATCTTCTATTGTGATGTTTTAATGTGAAATTATGGGCTTAATTGATAAACTTAAGAGACTTTTTAAATCCATCTCTACACCATTTTTTAAAAAAGTAATGTTATAAACAGTTACTGTACTGGATAGGTCGCCAGTTGGGAATCTGGCTCATTTTCTAAATTGTCATTCACTATCTGGAGCAAATTAATCTCTCCTACGCTGTGTGCATGTCACAAAAAATCAATGAATCTTATTTTGTATTTGTTCTGACCTAATTTGGATTATGACTATAAATGTTTCAGTAACATGGAACATAAAGATATAGATACAAATAAAAGCATATAGATTTCTAGCCCACAACTGTCCCTATAATCATAGGAGAAGCTGGCAGGTTCAATTTCTTCTGACAGTAGAGATCCCAACTGTAATTGCACTATATGCAATTCCAAATAGTGATGATAGTGGAAAAAAATGAACACAAATGAAGATTAATTTCTTTTTATTTTATTTATAAGATGTGTATGTCTATCATCCTCTGGACATCTCGCTACAACAATAAAAATCCTGAACTATAAAAACCAAAACATCATTAAACACAACCAAAACCTAGTACCTCAATCATCCTCTTGCAATGTCCTAGCAACCAACACCAATGACACTCCCTCTACCCCAGCACTTGGAAGGCTCTAAGAGTGGGGGGCCTGGTGGATGTTCCATGAATAAAGGGAATCTCAGAAAAGTCCTGCTTCAGAGGTGCCATGAGATGGCAACATTTAGGGAGGAGACCTAGAGCTTGACTACCCTATCCAATCTGTTACTCCCAGGGAGAGTATCTTGCAAATAAACTGATTCCATGCCAGGTAGAGCTTTAAAGCTGATAACTAGCACCTTGAATTACACTGAAATTAATAGCTAACTATATGTCAACAGGTGCATCAAGTCAACAGATTATATAATACAATCATGAAACCTATCAGAATTTCTCTCTGCCTGATATATCAAAGATAATCAAGGCAGGGTAATCTTGAGTCTCTTTCTCACCACCTCCTCATTCTCTGGATTGAGCTGGTATTTACATAATTGCTCTTGCATTCCTTCTTCAAGGTTATGTCCATACTGTTCTAAAGCTTTACAACTTTTTTTTTAAAAGGTGAGTGTAAACAATAACTCTGAAACATTTCTAGTATTTCTAGGATTCTCAAATAATTGCTTTTCAGTAAGATGGAGAAGAGATAAACAAGTTACCAGCCTTAGGTGTACCTGTCCCCTTACACCAGGGGTAGGTAACCTTGGCTCTTTTATGACTTGTGGACTTCAACTCCCAGAATTCCTGGCTCAGGAATTCTGGGAGTTGAAATTCACGAGTCATAAAAGAGCCAAGGTTGCCTACCCATGCCTTACACCATTCCCTCTAACAATAAAGACAGCATTAGTCAGTTTTAGCACGTTGGACCAGTATACCAGAAACACAACCAAAGTTTTCTCTCAAGAATGCAGGCAATAGTTGACTTACAACTATTGATTTAACAATGGTCCAGAATTGTGATGGCCATCCAAAACATGACATTACTATCTCCACGGTCATGTGTTCATGATCTGCATGCTTGGCAACCTATTCACACTTGGGACTGGTTGCCAAATGCTCTGGAATCATGTGATCACCATTTGCAATCTTTTCTACTAGCTTCCCCAGAAAGTCAATGGGGAAGTGTGAAGATTGTAAGTTGCTGCTGCCTGCTGTTAGGATTTCCTCTTGTCTCTGGGGGCTGGCTGAAAGAACTGCATGTGAAAAGAGT